GCCACACGGCTGTTGAAGCTTCACTGTTGAAACCTATTGGCAGCATCCAGTAGATGTTGGATGTGTCTTCAAACTTCAGTCCGTGGGAATCTTCCTCATTCTACAGATTACCACAATTGAAGGACTGATATCTCTAAATTATGAAGAAAAACCAATATTTCATCAAACATACAACATTCGGCATTGAGCACAGCTTTCTGAAACGCGCCGTACACTCTACATCCATTCATAATTATGAAGGCTTCAAACCCTTTTTCGCCACCATAATGAATTGTGGGACCAAACCATGGGCAAATCAGCGGTTCGCCCTCCCAGATGAATCTGATATAAATTTGCCAACCCCACAGGCAGGTAGTTTATAACAAACCTATGCAAGCGGTTTGCGATCTAAAATAGTATTGTCATTTGTCATTTGTCTAAGCTCGTTTCCTCCCAATACCTGCGAGATTATTTGGAAAGACGTCTTTCCCTTTGTCAGCGGACGTTAGTAGTTGTAATATGGGAATGACGTAGCAGTAAGAGGTGTCAAGCACGCGCAGTAGCAAGCGACGTTTGCAAGGCCGATGTCATGGTTTGCGAATCGGTCGATTCGCTGGTGCAAAGTTCGATTCGCTGGTGCAACGTTCGATTCGCTGGCGCAACGCTCGGATCCAGCGATTCGCTAGCGAATCGCTCGATTCGCAAACTATGACATCGGCCAAGATCGGCATCCGGACCAGCACGGAAACCGGAGCGAAAAAAATGTTCAGGCTTGCGGCACCACTCATGCTTGCCTCGACAAGGGGGAAATCGTAGAAAACATTGAAAATTAAATCATCCAAGCAAATTAGGTGTACACTATGAATATGGCTTATCAATACATCAGTGAACTGCTTTCTAATTACAATCAGACGAATCTAAAAGCCTTTTTCAGGTGAGCATCTCGAGGATGCAGTTGACTATGAAGCAGCAAAGACGATCGATAATTATATCTGTATATGTTGTAATTGAAGATTAAACATTTGAGAAAATGTGTTCCGTTGGTCTCTGTCTTTTAGCATAAGCCGTGGGTTATCAGATAGTATCAGGATCAACGTCAAAAAAGGTGGCCCAGTGGCTCGAGGAGTCACTCCACAACAAAAGGACCCTTCAGATCCGATCCCACGTAGGTCTGTCGAGGTTCACATCTCTAAGTTATTAGATTAAGATATACATAAAAATAGCTACCCCACCTTCTGCAGAAAACGAAGTCATCTTCCAGGCATGTTCAGGCTCCGTAGTTCAGTACTTAGGTGGGGAACGGACTCAAACGGCTTTCCGGTCGTCAATGAAAGCTCCAATGACCCCTCGACCAGGATCGACCGTCCGTTGTGCCAAGATCGCAAAGCGGGGGAGGGAAAGAGGGGTCGTAAAGAAATTTAAATAACGGCGGTTGACG